CATAAAAAATTTTACAAAATTAATTACAGATACTGTAATTAATAGAAATTATCCTATGTTCTAAGTGCACAAATTAAAATATCCTAATTGGTTTCAGACTTCAAGAAATCAAAGGACGAATTGATCCCCTTAGCCAAAAATGATGTTTCAATAATAGAGCTATATCCTCAATACCAAGGTTTTTAAAACCGAACTGGTTATTGAACCGTTTTGAGGTTTGGTTTTTGGTTTGATCAGTTCAATTGGTTGAATTGATGAACTGACAGGGAGAATCTGATGAGAGGGGCAAGCAATTTTGTAATTTTATTAAAATTAAGGGTTAAAATTAGTATAAGAAAGGAATGGTGAGGGTGAAATTGAAAAAAATAGAAAGAAGATTGCATGAGAAATTGAAAGAAGATTGCATGAGAAATTGAATCGACGGTTTTTTTGGTTTTACCGGTTCCACCGATTTCACTGATTTTGATCGGTTTTGATCGATTTTGACATCAAACTGTTTTTTATGTAAATTGAACCATTTTTATTATCGGATACCAGTCCGATCGGTTCAATCGACCAATCCAGTCCGATCCGATTTTAAAAACCTTACTCAATAGTTTTTGAGAAGAAAAATTAATATACTTTTTAGTTCAATACAACTATCAACACTAACTGATTCAACTATTTAAATCTATAATTAAAAGTTTTTTTATCTTAAATTTAAATTTAAAATAATAATCTCTTAATGAATGTGTAAACAAAAACATGTTAAATTATTACGTATATCAATTATTGTCTTTTTGAGAAATGCACAATTAAATTTGAATTGTCAACCCAATTTTGAATAATGTTGTTAGAATTCGCTTATTAGATGTATTGGTATTTGATATCAGTTCTTTCTTCTACAATTTGATACTAGCTTCCTTTTTTTTATGCAAAACTACTTCCAATTGCTAATTCAAGTGTATAATTTGATTCATGTCTTTTTATTCGGTATTAGTTTACTCCATCTCATTCAATGGACTTGCCTTGGCTTCAATGACTAAGGTTTAAATTACTACGCGACATCCAAAATAGATGTTATCTCCTATTTACTTTTTTTTTTTTTTTTTGATAAGCCAAAAATTTTATTATTATGGTACAAAGAGTACCCAAACCCATATACATTCATAGCACCACTTACATTGCCTATCTCGACATTAAATTGCCATCCTTCCAATTTACCATTCCAGTTCAAAGTTGGAAAAATTACCTCATTCTTAGAGCAAGTCTCGGATTGGATTTCCAGAGATCCAATGACAATTCAGGTTGTGGCATTGCCCTTATCCAATAAAATGATCTATATTTTATCAGCTCTAGCATTTCCTCCAGGCTGTCATGATTACTGTTGAAAATTACTTGATTCCTTTGCAACCATATTGACCAAAGTGCAGCAAACCAGATCACCGCCCATGCCTGATTAATATTTTTACTGTCAATTAGTCCTGTATGTTGCTTAAAATGTGTAGTAGTGTCCACATTTATGGCAGTCGAAATGCCCCACCAAGAATAACAGGACGTCCACACTTTCCATGATAGAGGGCATTCAAACATTAAGTGGTTGATCGTTTCCTCCTTTTTTAAGCAATTACTACATTGAATTCCTCCACCATTTGTAATCACACCCCTCCTAGCCAGATTACTCTTTGTTGGGAGTCTGTCATGAAGTGCTCTCCATGCCAAAGCTGAAACCTTCAATGGAACATGAGGGTTCCACACTTGGATAAAAGGTGCCTGTAGAGATTGAACTTGTTGAGCAGGTAACAATTGTTGATATGCTAACCTCACAGTGTATTGTCCACTGTTGTCCCATTTCCATATCCATACATCTTCTGTTCCTCGGTTGATGCTCACCGGTCGAATGGTATCTTCCAATTCCTGTAACAAATCAAGTTCCCAAGCAAACAAATCCCTTCTCCAATTCCACTTCCACACCCACACTCCCTCACACCATTCCCCTAATTCTGCTACTTTCACATTTTTATTTGTTGTAATGGAATACAATCTTGGAAAATTTTCTTTTAAATTCACATCCCCTACCCACATGTCATCCCAAAAGAAAGTGTCCTTCCCCTCACCTACCCTTTTCACAAAACCTTCCCTTAGCCACCTGTTATGAGAAACAAGTTCACTCTCTAATTTCCATAACTCTTTTCACCATACTGAACCTTTCCCATTTTGCACACACCTTCCCCACCCCCTACCGCCATCAATCCCGTACAATTCATATATGACTCTCCTCCACAGTACCTCCTTTTCCCTTAACACTCTCCACTTCCATTTTCCAAGGAGGGCCTTATTAAAGCTTTCAACATTTCTAACACCTAACCCACCCTCCTCTCTATATTTGCATATCACATCCCACTTAATCCACGCTATATTCCTACCGCCCTCTCCCCTACCCCAAAGAAAATTACATTGTAGTTTGGTGAGAAGGTTTGTTACCTGTTTTGGAGCCTTATACACATAGAAGAAATATACGGGTAAGTAGGATAACACAGCCTTGAGAAGAACAATTCTCCCCCCAAATGATAGTGAAACCCCACTCCATCTATTTAGCCTCCTTTTTACACACTCAATTACTGGAGCCCAAGTAGAAATTCTGTTTGTGTTTGCTCCCACTGGAACCCCTAAATACTTGAAGGGGATACTGCTAACTGAACAGTTCATTATGGTTGCCATGTCTTCCAATCTTTCACTGTCTACATTCAACCCACACAGCCAACTTTTATCATTATTAACCTTTAACCCAGAAATCATCTCGAAACTCCTCATCACACATTTCATTGCCCATGCATTAGCTTCACTCGCTTCACTAAATAAGATTGTATCGTCAGCACATTGTAAATGAGTGAGCCTCAAATTGCCTTCACCTACTTGGATACCTTTTAGGAGTCCAATTTCTTCTGCCTTCCGAACCAGGCCACTAAGAGCTTCTGCTACCACAAGGAAAAGAAATGGGGATAGTGGATCCCCTTGACGAAGCCCCTTGACGAAGCCCCTTTCCTGCATTGAACTCCTCTGTTGGACTGCCATTTACAAGTACTGAAATTGATGCTGTGGAAAGACATTCCTTCGTGCAACTCCTCCATTTCAAATTGAATCCAAGTTTGAATAGCATGTAGTCCAAAAATTCTCAATCCACATTGTCGTATGCTTTCTCAAAGTCTACTTTAAAGATTAGTCCCTCTTTTTTCCTCCTTTTAAGGTCGTGAATCACCTCATTTGTTATGACAATACCATCCATTATTTGTCTGCCACCAATAAAAGCTATTTGATTTTCAAAAATAATGCTGCCCATCACCTTCCCTAATCTGTTAGCTAATAATTTTGACAGGATTTTATACATGCAGCCAATGAGTGAGATGGGTCTATAATAATTCAATCCTTGTGGGTTTTCTTTCTTTGAAATTAACACAATGAAAGAAGCATTACACCCTCTTATCAGCTTTCCATTCTCCTGAAAGTCTCTAATAAATTCACAAACCTCTCCCTTAATAATGTCCCACATTTTCTTTATAAAGTTGAAATTGAAGCCATCTAGTCTGGGTTTTTTCCCACCCCCACAACTCCAAACTGCTTCTTTGATCTCTTTCTCTGTAAAATCTGCCAGAAGCATCTCATTATCCTATGCACTAACCTGGTTAAATTTTATCTCTTCCAGAAGTGGCATGCACCATTCCTCCTTTGTAAACTTGTTGCTGAAAAAATCTTTTACAATTGACTTCACCTCTTCCACTCTATCCACCCATACTCCATTATGTAATAAACCAACCAGTTCATTTTGTTTCCTCCTTCTAACCACACAGTTATGAAAATATTTGCTATTCGAATCCCCTTCCTTCAACCATTGCTGTCTTGCCTTTTGGAATAACAAATTGTTTCTTGCATTTGTCCACTCCATTAGCTCTTGAAAACTTGCTATTCGTTTGGCTATGTCAGTCTCTTCCAATGTTCCTACATCATTTTTCTCATCCACCTTTTTTATCTCTTCCTTTGCTGCTTCAATTTGAGTTTCAATTATGCCAAACACCTCCTTGTTCCAAACTTTAAGTTCCTTCTTCAAAAATTTCAGCTTCTCTTTTAGTCTAAAGCCACCCCATCCCCTAACATCAAAACTGGTCCACTTCTTTTTGACGAACTGTTCCAGATTAGGATGTGTTAACCAACTGTTAAGGACTCTAAAAGGCTTCGGTCCCCAATCCACAACCAAGGACTTCAAAATTATTGGGCAATGGTCGAAAAATGTCTTTCGTAGACCCCACTGAGATACATATGGAAACTGCTATATGAAATTATTAGACACTAGAAATCTGTCCAATCTACCCACTGCTAAGCCACCCACTGCTAAGCCATTACTCTTGTACCAAGTAAACTTCCTTCCTCTTAATGGTATATCCACAAGTTCATTTTCCATAAGGAAATCATTAAACTCCGATTGGCTTCTCCTGTCAAGATATTTTCCTTGTTTTTCCTCTGAGCTTCTAATTGCATTAAAGTCTCCTTCAATACACCAACAACTCCCATTAAAGCTACACGGTATCTCCTTTAACTCAACCTAGAGCCTTTTCCTTTCCTGTCTATCGCAAGGGGCATATACATTAATAAAAATGCAAGGAAGTTCCTCATTGCGCCACTGACCATAGATCCCACAAACCCATCTCCCTCTATTCTACTTTGTGCCTTAATACTATTTTTATTCCACAAACATAACATTCCACCTGCGTTCCCCACTGCTGGCTTCATATTCCAATCAAATTCCCCTGAGCCCCATATTGCTTTGCATCCTCTATAATCCATCACCTCCAACTTTGTTTCTTGGATGAACACCATATCAAATTTTTCTTTCCTAATCATCTTTCTTAGCTCCCTCTTTTTTCCTCCCCCTCCCAACCCTCTTACATTATAAGCTAAGACTTTCATCTTGGATTTGACTTCCCCTCCCTTTCCTCCCGAGGTCTTTGTTTTTGCTTTGCTAGTGCAATTCTATCCCTTTTCTTCATCTCTCCCAGTCTCTTAATAATCTCCTCTTCATTACCTCTCTTGACAAGTCTTAATCTTTTTCCAACTTTCCAGAGCTCATCTGCCTCCTCCTCCTAAGATCTTTCCAAAAACCTTTTGTTACAATTGTCAATTCCACTTGTTGTAATGGAATTATCCCCTATCCCCACTTCCCGATTCACTTCGTGTTGCATCAATTCCTTTTCGACTTTCCTCAATTTCGATCTCTAGCACCCTGTCATGATCTTCCTATTCATTCGTATCTTTGAGTTCTTCTTCTTCTTTAGTATCCTTTTCTGCCCTTCCAATCTAGCTTCGTAGATTTCTTCCTCACTCACCATACCTTCCCAAAATGCTCAACATTCCTCTTCTTCCTCGCCAGCACTCAAGGTTGTCCCCTTATTTCTATCCGAAGTTGTCTCGCTTACTTTGGATTCAATCAACATCTTTTTGGATCCATTAGACACAATATCCTTAGATGTTGCCAACATATCTATCAAGCCCAAATCCATGATCTAGTTGATAGGCCCAACTTCCCCAGATGGCCCACTTTTATTACCCTCCACTTGCTTGGAACTAGAATCGTCACCCCTTGCAGCTTTAGGTCTAACACCATCAATGTCAATTTGTTGTTTATGTGATGCTATTACAAAACTCATAGTCTTTTCGACTTCATCCCTACTAATGAAATCCTCAGGAGTTGACTTCGCATTCAATGTTTGTCATGTGTTAGTAGCCTTTACCTCATATCCCTCAACTGCAACATCAGCCTATGCCTCATTCCCAACTATCTTTGATACCTTTTCTCCATCTTCCATTGACTTTTCGAATACCCCCACCACCGGATTCAGCTTGCCAGAGTTAGCCGTTTCAACTTCCTCTGCATCTTTTTCAACCACTTTGCTCAGTCTCGTCCCCACATCAACTTCATCTATTTCTAAATCATCTCCTTCAGAATTGCTGACATCCAAATCTGAATTACCAATCCAAGAACCAAATTCTGAGTCTTCATAGTCAACCGATTGAGGACCAACATTCACATTCAATAAATTGGCAGCCCCCATCTCTTCTCAACTCCTGATTTGAAGGATTTCCCCTTCCACCTTAATTTTCAAGAGCTTTACTATGTTATCCTGCTTGTTAGTTGAAATCAAAGCTCTTCCCATATCCAACCTTTTTCTATGGGTTGTGTTATAATCAACAGATATGAATCTACCATATAAATTTCCAATCCTCTTGAAAAATTCATCATTCCACACATTCAGTGGAACTCCGAAGCATCGGATCCATGTGAAACTCTCCTTTGCTACCTCTGTTTGGCTCCAAGGCCTCACATCTTCAAACCAATTCTTGAGCCAATCATTCCCCTCCTTCAGTAGGGTATCAACTTCCTTAGTATCTTCACAATGGATCAACATGAGATTTCCACCCATTGGAGTTACTTTTATTGAAAAGAATCCTTCTACCAACAGTCTGTCTTGTAGGGACATTAATCCATCAAGCTTGTGCATTTGTCCCACATAATAGTTCTTTAGCCACTCCTCTTCTTTGTTAGCTTGGAACTTCAAAACAACATCTGTTTCCTTACTAGCAGTGTCTATCCTGACGTTTTTCTTTGGGGTCCATCATTTCCTTTCTGAAACTTCCATTCTAGGCACGTGTTTATCACCCCGAACAACATCCGCGAATGACTTTGCTGCTACATCTGCATACTGCCCATAACTACTCTCCCCTTTGTGGACTATTTGCCTTTTGCTCCTCCCAGTTGTTCCATTTTCTTCATTGTACATGGCTAGGTTCACCTGGATTCTGAGCTTCCCCACTTTAATCTTGCTCAAGTTTAGTTCCATTTCTCTAGGATTTTTAATCTCCAGATACCTAACAAAGCCAAACTTTCTATCCCACTTATCCTTCTTGTTTGCCACGTATATCTATATTACTTTGCCATACTTTTTGAACTCTTTCCACATATCCTCGATCTTCCAGGACTCGGGGAAATTTGCAATAAAGAAAGAAGCGGCTTGTTTTAGTATCCCTTTATCATATCCTTTGTTGTTGTCCCTCTGTTTAAACCTCATTCTTCCCCATTCTGCTTTGCCTGCACCCGTATATCCTCTTCTCCAATTGTCAGCTCTGGGGTTTTGGTTAAGGCTAGGTCGCTCCCTTACCGGTTGACACTCATGTTGTCCACCGTTCCCAACAGAGGGATTAACCTCTGCC